GAGTCTGAAGACCAAGTTAGCAAATGACTCCTAAACTTCAAAGTTTTCTTGTGTGTACGTATGTAATGATATGTGTGCATGTGAAGGGCAGAGGCGGACACTGGGGAATCTGTATCATCTACTTTTAGTCCTGACACTACACAGATAAACCCTGTATCAAAGCAAAAAACAAACAAACAAAGAAAACCCTAACTGGATAACCTGCACAATATGTGGCTGGCCTCTGCTAGCAAAGGTCCAAAATCTGGCAGTAGGAAGATGAGTGGGCTCCTGTACTTTTCCAAACTTATCTATAAAGAAAGCTAATAAAACTGAAGGCTAGGCCATGGTGGTACAGGTATGTAGTCCAGCTACTTAGGACGCTGAGGCAAAAGGGTAACAAATTCAAGATCAGCCAGGCGGCGGTGGCACACGACTTTAACCCCAGCACTCGGGAGGCACAGACAGGTGGATCTCTTGAGTTCGAGGCCAGCCTGGGCTACAGAGTGAGTTTCAGGACAGTCAAGACTACACAGAGAAACCCTGTCTCAAAAAAATCAGGAAAGAAAAAAAATCAGCCTGGGCAACTTAGCAAGATCATGTCTTCAAAATTCAGAAAGGGATGGGAGATGCAGTTCTATAAAACTCTTGCCTACCCTTTGCAAGGCCCTGGGTTCAATCCCCAGTGCTGGATGGAATAAGAAACAGAATTGTGAGGGTCAAGGCAAGATTCATAAAACAACCCTCTATAGAAGAAGCAGCTTGCTTTTTCTTTTTTTGGCTTCAAACTCACAGAGATCCGCCTGCCTCTGCCTCCCAAGTACTGGAATTAAAGGCCTGCACCACCACCCTCAGGCTCTTTTCTTTGCCACACTGACAACAAATCCATGTCACTTTTATTGGGAAGATTTTATACCATTTTCTTGAGAGGCAATACCAAACGTAAAAAGGTCAATACAAGTTTGATGAAACCTATCCATTTTTCATAGTCACAACACATAGGGATGGGATTTGTTTGACTCCCTCTAAATGGTACTTGGAAGCCTGTTCCAGCAGACTGTCCATCAAAAGGTAACTGAAATAAACTAATTGTGCTGGACACTTCTAAGCATTTGGCACAGCATCCATTATTAAAATGCCGTTCAATAACTTGCCCCCATTGGTACAGTTATGATCGGCCCCGTATTCAAACAGGTGCCCTGACTGAGTTTTTGTTCTCTACTCTGGCGCAGAAACCGTCAGGGCAGGATCCAGTTAAGTCGGCCTGCGGCCGGGACAGTGCCGGCTGAGGGCGTTGCACGGATGCGTCATCACAGGAAAGCAGGAGCGGCCCTAGATGCATGCACGCCCTCCTCTGATCCTGCAAAGGCTTTTTTAGGGTCATCACACCCTGTCATCAACCCAGTAGTTCCGCAAGTCCCACTCCCAGGGCTTCCGCTCCTGGCTCCACCCCCATCCGTTTCCCGTAGAATTTTGTCCCCAGCGCCGAGCCGTTGCCCCGCCCTCGCCGCTGCCATGGCGGCAGCTCCGCCGCTCTCTAAGGCTGAGTATCTGAAGCGTTACTTGTCTGGGGCAGATGCCGGCCTGGAAGGAGGTTCAGAGGCCGTTCGGAAGCGGCGCAAAAAACGGCCGAAGCCGGGAGGCGCCGGTGGCAAGGGGTGAGTGGACTGATGTGGCGTCGCGCTGCCCCGGTGCGCCCTCGGCCGCAGCTCTTCCTCCTCCTCGTCCGCGCGGCGCTCCGAGCGCTGCCGACCCCGGCCCGAGCCCAGGCCCAGCTCCTCTGCTCCGGGCCGGGCTTCTCGCCGCCGCCTGCAGCGGAGATCTCAGTCTCTGAACAGCGCCTTCCATGTCTTAAGGCCGGCTAGAACTTTCCTCACTGTTTTCCCGCCTTTGTAGCCTTCCATCGTCTCGCGAACAGACTGAAAGTCGCGTCCCGAGAATAGTAGAGCTAATGTAAAGCCCCAAGTGCATGCATTTTTTAACAAAAATTTTGGGATCCAAAAAATCTGTTTCTCGGGGCTTCAAAGTATCAGGAACTGACCTGGAATCAAAGATCCAAGTCCAGTTACTCTTAACTACTACTAAGAGTAACAACTAACATGGATACAGTTCCTATCATGTGCCTGGCCTCTTTCCAAAACCTTCGACCATATAATAACTTTCAGAACATTGTGATGAAGTAGACATTGTTTTAAATAATATACTTTCTAGGTTCAAAAGAGGTGTGCTGAGACAGATTTCAGATGAAATATCCTGTAGTGACTTGGCCACTGGAATCTGGAAAGGTTGGGACAAGGAGATGGAACATCAGCCCACAGAATAAAGGAATTTTCTTAGACTTAAGAGCAGTGGCTCTAAGTTTAGCAGCTTACTAAGAAGGTACTATTTTGGATACAAGGTCAAAACTCTGGAAGCTAATCCTATTCTTACACCTCGCCCTGGGTCTGCTACTTTCTAGGAGTTTAGCAGCTTAGAGAAGGTGCTAGAGAATATAAAGTGTGGCTCACCACCCTCTATGGGGGTAGCATTGTGATCTAATGGTATTAGTCCCATATCTCAACTGAGAAAATTTTGTGGCCCAGTGAAGTGGGTAGACTAATTTCCCCTTTGCCCAGATTTATCTTCATTTGGAACTTGAGCATGACATCATTTAGAGATGGAAGCTTTGTGGTGTTACCAATTGAGCCTATATTCAGTTAAGGTGGGTGCTAAATTCAGTGTGGTTGATGCCCTTGTAAGAAGGAGCAATGCCATGCAGGGAAAAAAATTTCAGCTTTGTTCAACACTGACTAAGTATCATGTGTTTCTGGCTTTTCAAATACCTCTTTGCAGCACAGTTCATCTGTGTGAATCACATTTATTGGATGCTGTCATATAAACAGACATTTCCTGTCCCCACTGCCCAGTCCCAAATAACTGACACGAGGCTAAATATGAATTATAAATGCTCGGGTGATAGCTCAGGCTTGTTACTAGCTAACTCCTACATTTTAAGTTAACCCATATTCTTTATGCTCTGCCACGTACCTTCATTAGCATGGCACATTCATCTCCTGCTCCCTCTGCTTCTGGCTGGCAATTCCTGACGCCACCCCTCTTCCCATCATCCCTAGTGTGGCTGCCCCGCCTATACTTCCTGCCTGGCTACTGGCCAATCAGCGTTTTATTAAACCAAGTTGAGTGACAAATCTTTACAATGTACAAGAGGATTATTTCACAGCACTGTCGTCTTTCAGTAGTTGTGGACTGGTACCTCAGTCCACAGGTACTTAATTTCCTCCACACAATGATACGGTATTTGCAGGTAAACTATTCATAACCTTTTTAAATCACTACAACTTAGATGGTGTACTGGATGATTTTGTGCATCAACTTGACACAAGCTAGAGTCATCAGAGAGGAAGGAGCCTCAGCTGAGGAAGCGCCTCCATGAGATCCAGCTGTAAGGCATTTTCTCAATTAGTGATCAATGGGGGAGGTCCCAGCCCATGGTGGGTGGTGCCGTCTCTGGGCTAGTGGTCCTGGGTTCCATAAGAAAGCAGGCTGAGCATGCCATGAGAAGCAAGCCAGCAAGCAGCACCCCTCCATGGCCTCTGCATCTGCTCCTGTCTCCAGGATCCTGCCCTGTTTGAGTTCCTGTCCTGACTTCCTTCAGTGATGAACAGTATTGCTGAAGTGTAAAGCCAGATAAACCTTTTCCTCCCCAACTTGCCTTTTGGTCATGGTGTTTTGTCACAGCAATAGAAACCTTAACTAAGACAGATGCTATGTCAGTAATTGTTACATTATTTAGGGCATTGTCACCAAAGAAAGTCTGTATCTATTTAATACACTGGTAATTTTCTTTTCCCTGGGTATTTTTAATCTGTATTTGGTTGAATTTGCAGTTGCAGAATCCATGGGTATGGAGGGCTGACTATCTCCTATGATAGTTGTGTTGAAGAGGCCTTGATGAACAAAAATGCCTTAGTCAGCAGTATGTGGTAGTAGATGCTTAGAACCCCAGAACAGGGGAGGCTGGGGCAGGAGGATAGTGTTTAAACCTAGCCATAGTGAAAGTATCTGAGAGGGGAAAAGTCAACAAATAAAAGAATGTTCTAGCCCTTGGCTGTTGGAGCTTAGAATTTAATGGGAATGTGGGCTTTATACAACCAATGATACAACAGTTGATTTAACTCGTTTGATAAATACAAATGAAAACATTCTAAGAGTGTGTAGAGGGATTTCTAGCCTGGGAGTAGGAGACAGTGAGCAAGAAAGATACATCCAAGGAAGTTATTCAATGCCAGGGCCCAAAGAAAATGAGATCCCTGGTTAAGAGAGGGAAGGGGTTGCATTTGTGAAAACTGATGGAGTAAGAAATTTGACTCATTCCAAGTACTGAAAGATGGACAGTGATGGACTGGGAGGTGGCATTCATCTTTAATCCCAGCACTCGGGAGGCAGAGGCAGGTGGATCTCTGAGTTCGAGGCCAGCCTGGTCTATGGAACAAGTTCCCGGACAGCCAAGGCTCTTACACAGAGAAACCCTGTCTCCAAAAACCAAAACCAAACAAACAAGAAGATGGACAGTGATGGAGTGAATTTTCAGTAGCAGTCCATATAGACAAAGACTGCACCATACATTTGAACTTTAAAAGCCAATAGGGGGCCGGGAGATGGCTCAGCGCTTGGCACGCAAACCTGACAACCTGAGGTCAATCCTTTGAACCCACATAATAGAGAGAGAGAACTGACTCCTGCAAGTTGTCCTCTAATTTCCATATGCATGCTGTGGTACAGATATATACCATCACACATACACAATAAATAAACATAAAAACAATAGGTAAGTGTACATAGGCCTGTATCCCAGAATGAGTTCCTTTTTGAGCCTTTTATTGTTCCCATTTAGAATGCGGATTGTTGATGATGATGTGGGCTGGGCAGCTATCTCTACCACTAAGCCGGAAAAGGAGGAGGAAGAGGATGGAGATTTGCCTGTGGTATGTATCTTTTGGGGTCTTGTCAGGACTTTGAAACGATCCAAGCGTCTCAGTGTGAGATAGAGTTGTAGGGGGGGAAGCTGAGCTTGGGAAGAGTGATGTGTAAAGAGCTGTTTATTCCTGGTTTAGTCCATGATGCTTATGCGAATGATCCCCAAGGAATGACTTGGCTGTGCAGTGGTGTGAATTGATGAATTTTCAGCAGAAATGGTTCTGAATTTTGATCTTCTAGGCTAGCACTGTTCGGGTATGGTATTTTCATGATGGGCAGTGGAAGTGAGTCATGTGATCATAAGGAGAAACAAGCAATTCTCTGCGTGTAAGAATGGCTGATAGACTTAGTTTATTGACTACCAACCATGTACCAAACACTGCTAAGTGAACACAAAGGATCTCATTCAGTCTTCAGTCCTTTGAGCCCTGCTTTTAGAAATAAGGACATTGAGCCAGGCAGTGTTGGCACACGCCTTTAATCCCAACACTCAGGAGGCAGAGGCAGGAGGTCCAATCTCATCACTTTCATTAACTACCCAATCACTTATATTATTAATTCTGCTACCACCTCTACTCCATTATAATAACATTACATATATAACACCTAACTGTTAAAATACCCACTACCAAAACTCCTAACACCATCCAATTAGACCTCCCCCTACCCCCCAAGCCTCAGGGTATTCCTCTGTAGCCATAGCAGTTGTATACCCAAATATATAGTCTACAGAGTGAGTTCCAGGATAGCCAAGATTCACGGAGAGACCTTGTCTCAAACAAGCAAAAACAGAAAGAAAGGAAGGAAGGAAGGAAGGAAGGAAGGAAGGAAGGAAGGAAGGAAGGAAGGAAGAAAAGAAAAGAAAGAAAGAAAGAAAGAAAGAAAGAAAGAAAGAAAGAAAGAAAGAAAGAAGGAAAGAAAAGGAAAGGAAAGAAAAGAAAGGAATAAGGGCATTGAGACTTGAGATACTTTGCCAAAGGTTACACCAAGACTAAGTGACGGAGCTCAGTTGATCCTACACTAAAGCCATGCTTTCCGTGCCCAGGGATAGAGCTCAGAAGAAGATTATATGAGGAGCGATGGTGGGACTTGGAGCACAAGTAGTACAGAGGAATTATGACCCGGATTTGAATTCCGCTCTTACAGTTTGCTAGTCCATGCCCATTTCATTTCTCTGAGGTACAGTGTGTTGATCAGCGGCCTTGGGTCCTTCTTGGCATGAGTATGGTGAGGATTGAATAAGATAATTGTGAAGTAGTGTTCTCTGTAGCTACAGTTTGCCAGCCACTTTGAAGGTCTCTCAAATGGAAAGGGATGAGAGGTTAGTGTTAGGATGGAGGAAACGAAGTCATGTGAGGGGAGATGTGGGACCAGTCAAACTAAGACTGCTCTAACACTGACCGTGGACTGACTTGAAAGGCGAGTTCTCCGTCACGGAGCAGTCTATGAGTCATTGTGATCATTTATATAGATGAGAGAGTTTGGAGGCTGTCCCTGAACATTCTATAATTTGGTGTGTGGCCAGTAGTTCCCTTTAGTTGGATTCAAGACCTATCATTGTGACTACTCACAGGAGAGGATTCATAAGGGCCCAGATCTTTGATTAGTGATAGGCAAGTTAGGAAGGCAGTGTTCTCACTATGTGTGAAGAATAAAAATGTAAAAGCTTTTCACTTACATGTGGCAGTTGTGTGCCAGCACAATTACTAAAAAGGTTTGTAATGATTTTATCTTTGGAGGAAGATTGACTAGTCAGAGAAAGGTCATCAGTTAAGTTATCAAAGTGACAGTGAGATGTTCATGGGACAAGAATAACTGGGCACTGCTGCATGTTTCCTTATGGCACACACAAGGGTGTGTGGGCACTGTGTGTTAGGAACAGAACCAGCTATGGCTCCAGGTTCTTGAGACAAGTGTTCCTTGGCTGGATTCTGTGTTTTTCCTTACTGTAGTATCCTTACTCCTACAGGTGGCTGAGTTTGTGGATGAGCGTCCAGAAGAGGTAAAGCAGATGGAGGCATTCCGCTCCAGTGCCAAATGGAAGCTTCTGGGAGGTGAGTGTCAACAGCAGAT